GCATCCCGGCACCTCATCTCTGTGATCCAGTTCCTGCACCCCAGACCCTGCTCCCCGCTTCTCCCCCTTGCATTTCACCTCCTTTCCATCCATATTCCCACCTTCCATCTCCTCTCTGTAAGTTTTTCCTCCTCTCACCATACGGGATGTTCAGTTAATGGCACTGATTATCCGTTCCTGGCAGTGTCCAAGGCCAGGCTGGATGAGGCTTGGAGCAGCCTGGGATAGTGGAAGGTGTCAGGGGGCTGGAATAAGATGGCATTTAAGGTCCTTTCCAACCCAAACCATTCTAGGATTCAGTCAACGATTCTGTGATTATTCTGTCTTTATTCTGTATGACCCAGAACTGTCCCCTGGGTCCACAGGTGGATGGACACAGAGACAAGGTTGGATTCAGGAACACAGTGCATATCCCAGTGCTGCAACCTGACAGCTGAATGGTTATTTCTCCCTGCATGTGCTCTCCTTTACATCTGCTGGCCCTGCTGTGGAAGTGCACAGGAGCTCAGATGGCAACTTGGGAATTTTCTGTGTTTCATTCCACAGCTGAACATCAAGAAGAAAGCAGGAAGGAGTTTCAGTAAAGCCTTATCAAATTATTCTCCTTCTCCCAGGGTACACAAAACCCCAAAATTTACCTGCGACTCAGTTTATAAAATTGGTATCACAATCCCCAACCCTACAAGGGTCTCTGAAGGGCCAATTAATGCACAAAAAACGCAGCATCACATGTTGTGTGTCATGATCCTCAAATGTCCCACTCTGCTCTGGGCTGGTGGGGCCTCATCTCCAGTGCTGGGGGAGCTTTGGGCACCTCAGTAACAAAAAGATCCAAAGGTGTGAGAGAGTGTCCAAAGGAGGGGCACAGGGATGGGGAAGGGTCTGGAGGGGCCCATGAGGAGCAGACTGGGGGCACTGGGATGGCTCAGACTGAGGGCAGAGCTCCCCGGGGCTGCAGCTCCTCCCGAGGGGCAGCTCCAGGCTCTGCTCTGGGACAGGAACAGGAGCCAGGGAACGGCTGGAGCTGGGCCAGGGCAGGCTCAGGCTGGAGCTCAGGGCAAGGTTCTTCCCCCAGAGGGTGCTGGGCACTGCCCAGGCTCCCCAGGGAATGGGCACGGCCCCGAGGCTGCCAGAGCTCCAGGAGCGTTTGGACAGCGCTGCCAGGGATGGACAGGCTGGGATTGTTGGGGGGTCTGGGCAGGGACAGGGGCTGGACTGGATTGATGATCCTGGTGGGACCCTCCAGCTCAGGATATTCTGTGATTCCATGATTCTACCAAGAGCTCTATTAATATGCAGAGTGGGATAAGGATCATAAGTTTCATAGGATTCCTGAAACTGGGCTAATGATAAGAGATTCAAATCTCCAGACCCTTGCTGTATCTACATGACCTGATTTCTAAGGGGGTCTTGATAATGAGGATGGAAAAATCAGGGAGAAGCTGGTCCCACACCCAAACTCGCCTGGCTGGAACGGGTTGGTGAGGTGTGTATTGCACTGTTTGCACTCTCTGTTGGAGACAGAGGCTGTGGATATCTTGAAAAAATTGCAATATTTCTCTGATTTCAGCAGTTTAAAGACTTTTGTGGTGAGCAGGAGCTCACTGCTCTCCAAGAATGACTAAGTCATGTACCAAAGTCCCTAAACCATTCTGGAAATCCCCAAAGAAAAACCAAAGCTTGCTTTCCTGGTTTTAGTCATGTCAATCTAGTGTTTTAGTGAGGGCACAGGCACTGCAAAGATGTGGAGATATTGCATAGGATGGGTGAAAACCCTTCTGGCCCTTATTTCAGCTAAAGCTGTTGTGGTGATAACAAGTGTCTGGTAACACCATCAGCACCCTGAGCCTGCTCACACTCCGTGTATCCTGCAGGAAAGGAGAGATTATTTACAGAAACTCAGTGGCATTTAGGGGGTTTACCCTCCAAAGGCTGAAAATCCCCTGCTGCACAAGCAGCCTTTGGAGGTGCAGCCCTGCAGGCTCTGCCAAGCCAGGTGCTGAGCCTGCCCAGAATCTGCCCAAAATCTGCCCAAAATCTGCCCAGAGCTGCCCCTCTGGCCAGGCCTGAGCTGCTCAGAGTGTCCATGGCATCTCTAAAGATCTCCCCTCACTGACCTGGCTGCACTTTGCATTTCCAGAGCTGTATTTAACATTTATTTGTGTCAGCAAGTTTGGTATGTCTGCGTTTAAATTCGGTGACATCAGCTGCATTAGTCAGAAGGGAAATTATGGGAAAAAAAAAAATTGTTTTAGAGAGACAGGTCTGGTCCTCACTGCTTAGGCAGCTTATAACTGTTTTCTACTTTTATGTCTCAAGTTAATTCTTTTATCTGAAACATTTCAGCTCAAGCCAAGAGAGGCTGAAATTACCAGAGCTTCAGGACTGATCGATGGATGTGCTCACATTGCCTAATTGGCTTTGCACGAGTCATGGTGTAAATCAGAGGTAATCCCTCTGCCATCAATGGGATTAAATGAGCTTAAAAATACTGCAGGGAGGAGGAAAGACAAAGCTACATTTGGGGCTAAGGACCAAGGAGAGCACACTGGTTTCAGTGTGTGCTTGAGGCACAGGCACTGCAGATTTGCTTCAAGGAAAGCTGCTGGGAAGGGAGGGGTCTCAGGGGGAAGCCCTAAAGAAGATATCAGGACATCACTTGTTTTTGTCTTTTTGACCCCTTTTACATCCAGAGGGTGCAGCCCTGAGGAAAAGAGCCTGGCTGTTTCCAGGAGCTCCATGCAGCTTTTCACCACTGAGCCAGAGGGGCTGTGGAATGGGACTGGGAAACGGGACTGGGAAATGGGACTGGGAAATGAGACTGGGAAATGGGACTGGGAAACGAGACTGGGAAACGGGACTGGGAAATGAGACTGGGAAATGGGACTGTGGAATGGGACTGGAAAACGGGACTGGGAAACGGGGCTGTGAAATGGGGCTGTGAAATGGATCTCAGAGAAGCTGCAATTTCACAGAGCCCCCAGGATTTCCCCCTGAGGTGCAAAATGCACCCCTGAGGTTCTCTCAGAGCATCAAAGCACAGCAGCACCTTGTCGAGCCAGGATGAAGCTCAGGGACATGAGGACACACGGGCAGCTGCCAGACAGGTCCAAGAGGATGTGACAGTGCTGGGGAAAGTTCTCTCTGCTGGCTGTGGCTGCCTCAGTTTCCCCACCTCTGAGGTGGGTCTGACAGGAGCACCAGCAAAGGGCACTGAAACCACGAGCTGAAAGTGGCTCTGTCAGCAGGGAAGGTGCTGCTACCCAGACATGGAAAGCCCCTCGATCGGGGCTCCCGAGGCTTGTCCCAGTCCCGGCCACCCCTCGGTGACATTCCACTGCCATGGGGACATTCCACTGCCCCCTCTGGCTGGGGACTGAGTGTGGGCAGGCACAGGAGAGGGGCAAAACCCTGAATTATTTTATGAAGTGGAGAAGTAAAAGCAGGCAACAAACAGCTTTTGATTCCTCTGTGACCCCCATGGATTTAAGTGCTTATGGAATCAGGTGAGGTCACACATCAGCAAGCCAGAGTTAGCAGAATTTGCCTCGTTTTATTTCTCAGCAGCCACTCCCTGAAGTCCCTATAGCTAATTTTAACTCTCTCCTGCCAGGTGAGTGCCCTGCAAACAGCAGCCAAGGGGCTGGCCCAGCCTGTGATGCTGTGACAAGTGGCAGCTGGGTGACATCCCCTCCTGAGCTCTGTGCCAGAGCTCTGGGCTCTGCCCCTGGCTGTGCCTGTCACACACACACTGACAGCCTTTGGCCCTCGAGAGCCCCAGGACTGCTGCTCTGGTCCGAAGGGGACTGAGCTCAGCTGCCAAATTTCCTCCCAAAACCAGAAATTAAAGAAACATCCTTTTTTTTCCCCTGCCAAATTTAAGAAGAACCTCATGAATTCACTGCACACCCGAGTGCTGCCAAACCTGTGGGATTTTAGGTCAAAACTCTTCAAATCTCTGCCTGCTTGTCAGTGTAGCAAAGGCTACATAATGTCATTAGCTATTAATATATATATATATATTTGTGTGTGTGAGTGTATTTTCATATATATTTATATATATTCACATATAACTTGTGTTTTAAGTACTGGAGAGAGGGAAGACCCGATATTGAGCACTCTGAGCAGCACCAATCACCCCTCATGTGATGAACTCAGCCACCAGCCCACACTGGGTGTGTGTGATGCATTTCCCCACACGGAGGAGGTTTCTGCCCTCTTTCTAGCATTTGCAAGCCCAGGCTTGCCCAGAATTTTCAAGCTGAGAAACTCCTCTCAGTTTTCTCAACTTTCAGGCTGAAAACACCATCTCCTCCGCCCTGGGTGGACACAGCTCAGGCAGGGTCACGTTTATGCACAGACACCTCCCTGACTGAGGCTGAGAAGGGAAAAACCTTCATGGCCCAAGTGAATATCCATTTCTGAGGAGCCTCAGCTGCTTCTCATAGTGTTGGGATCAAATTTAGTTGCAGAAGGCCAAACTGCCCTCTGAGACATTGCTGCAAATCTGAAAAGGCTCCTTGGCTCATTGGTTTCAGCCTGATTTTCTCTATAGTAGCAGCTTTGTGACTGTCACCTGTATAATAGTGACTGTCACCTGTATAATATTAATTTCTCAGAGCCAGATTTTTATTCGGGAACCTATTTCCCATTGAAACTGAGAGTGGGGTTTCTTTTCCTGGTCTGTCCAGTGCCAGAGAAAAATACCTATAAATAATGAATTTGTGTGTGTGTGTGTTCATTTGTATCTTTGATACCAAATCTTTGCAGCTCAAATAACAAGAAAAGCCATCAGCCCAGGACTACACAATTCCCAGGGAAATGAGGCTCGGAGATGATGAGGGCTGCACCTTTCCAGGTCATCAATTTGTCTGTGAGTTCATTTTCCCTCTAAAAAATGAACATAACAATACCCCTCAGATCCACACTAATACATGATTTGTTATTTGTGACATGGGGATGAGTTTCTGCAGAGAAGTGCTTCCACAGAAAGAACATTTCACAAACACTTAGTTTGTGATGGATTTAATTCCTTCCCCCTGTTGCTCAGGTACTGCACCAACAGAGGATTTGAGGAGGCTGATCCCATTTTTCACACAAACATTTAATGAGCTGACATTGCAATGCTCTCAGCCTGTGCCTGTGGATCCCTGCAGCCCATCCATTGGGGCCTGACAGCTGAGTCAGGGCTGGAAAACTCCCATAAATCTGCTTTAGTGCCCACTGGTGTTTAGCTAACAATAGAACATAATCTCATTGGAGATTTAAATTAAATCATTGCATTTTCCAGCTTTAGTAAGACACAATTAATTCAGTGTTGTGGCTGGGTCTGGGCTGCTGCCTGTTGGCAGCTCAGTGAAGTCTCTGCCTGAGTGACCTCAGCTGGACCCAGCACAGAATTGTTGTGTCACAGGATCATGGAATGGTTTGGACTGGGAAGCTCCTCCATGGGCAGGGACACCTTCCACCACGCCAGGGTGCCCCAAGCCCTGTCCAACCCAGCCCTGGACACTGCCAGGGATGGGGCTGTGTCCCCCAGAGCATCCCTGAGTGCTGGCACTGGCACAGGGCCCAGCTGGGCAATGCTTTTTTTTTTCTCCCTTGCCCATTTTAACAATGCAGGAGTTCTGGTTCATGGGTACAAACCACACCCAATTCCCATCTGGGCTGCCTGGGATGGAATGGATCCAAATCTAAATCCCCAGCAGCTCCAGCCTCAGCACAGTCCCCTTCCTGAACGTTTCTCCTGCTCCTGTCTCTGGGGGGACCTGGCAGCAGTTGCCACAAATCCCTGCTTGGTTGCCAGCAGGCAGCAGCTGACAGAACTCCTTGTGAGGGGCCCTCAGTAAATTACCCACTGGGTATATTCATTAATAAGCTCTGCTTTATGCATTTTAAGAGGAAAATAAAAGGCTCTGACAATTTGCTCACACTTGAATGCTCTGTTGCCCTCTAACAGGGACCAATGGGCACTGAGGGGAGAGCATTTAAATGCCCTAAAACCAGCTCTCAGCAGCTCTTGCTGATGTGGGCTCTCACTATCAGCCCCCCTTTTGTCCTTCACTAATGGCATCATCTCAGATTGAGCAGCAGAATTTGGAAATTCAGAGCAAGAGGATGCCTGGGATTGATATGGACTTAAAGACAGAAATGTTCTGGCTGATGAAACAGCATCCAGGCCATTCCTGGGAGAGCACATGGCTCCTGTCTACACCTGCAGCTGCTGGTGAGGAGAAAAAACAACTGCACCTGAGCTGAAATAAAATTATACATATATATCTATATGGTTTATATATGGTTACTATATATAGTTTATATATGGTATATATATATATGATTTTCTTTCATATAACTCTAACTCTAACTGTAACTATAAATATAAATATCACTATAAATATAACTATAAATTTAAATGTAAATAATGTAAATTTAAACATAAATAAATATAACTATAAATGGACTTTTTGACCAGTGACATCTCTCTCCCTGCCCTGGGAATGCCCCTACCCCTTGTGCTTTGCTTTGAAAAGTGCTGACCACTGTGGCTCCTCCTCTGTGGATCATAAGGCTCCATACCTTCAGATCCTGCTCTATTTCTAAACCTCTTCAGGTACAAAATAAAGCACAAAAAGAATTGAGGAAGACTTAAGAAGATTTAAGGGAATGCTTAGGTTGCTAGAGAGAAAGCAGTGTGTGTGTTTAGGGTGCCTGAGGGAGAGCCTAAGGAGAAAAGAAAATTCCTTCAGGTTACAGGAATTTTAAAACTTAAACAAAGGTGATGGTCAGGCAAGATGTGAAGCTCTCAGGAGGGACACGGTGACACTCAGGGACTGCTTTGGGAGCTGTGGGTTATGAAACAATCCCAGTATGGGAGAGTCACGGATCCAAGAGTTACCCAAAATAGAGTAAGTGGTGCCCAAATGCTGCAAAAAAGGTGATTGTGGGATTGGGACTCTCGAGGCCTTGGGCTTATCTTAGAATCCTGGAATCACAGAATCCCCTGAGCTGGAGGGACCCACAGGATCCCCCAGGGCAGCCCCTGTCCCTGCCCAGACCCCCCAACAATCCCAGCCTGTCCATCCCTGGCAGCGCTGTCCAAACGCTCCTGGAGCTCTGGCAGCCTCGGGGCCGTGCCCATTCCCTGGGCACATTAAGGCCAGGCAGAATCTTGGTAAATTGTCTCTATTAGACAGATTTTCTTATTTCAGGCTCCCTGTGCTCACACTCTGCCTGTTTCAATTCCTTGCTCTGTGCCTTTTGCTGCTGGTCTCCCCTTGTCCCTTCTCGACTCATCCATTTCCTTCTCCCTTTTCCCCTCAAACCAGGAGCTGTTTTGAAATATGTGGAACACATTTTCACCCCTCTCTCATGAATATGAGGACTTTGCCCACATTTGCAAGAGCCAGCATTTAAAATAAGACCTTCAAATCAGAGTGATGTTCACATCTCCTGGCAAAAAGCTCTTTTGAACAGACACCCCAGGGATCATTCAGAAATATTTGCTATTTCTTCAGCCGTGCACTGGTTCCTGGAGTAATTGGAAAGCTTTTTTCTTATTTTCATTTTTTCTTACTACTTTGGCTCTTGACCAAGTGGAGCCTTTATTGGAAATGTTAAGATGTGCACAGTTGGTTTATTTGTGACCCTGGGCAATATTTGCATTCCAGATATGACAAATTGCCTGTATTGTTTAGGGGTCTTACCTGTCCTGATGGGTTTTTTGATGCCCTCTATGGCAGGATCAGCTACCTGAAAGAGAAGAAAGAGAAGAGATGGATTATTCTGGGAATAGGAAATAACCATTTCATGTGCAGCTGTGGATCTGAAACATTTCTGTTTTTTTTCTAACAAAAAAAAATTGACATTTCTGACACAGTGTAGTAAGAAAATTATGTAGGTTCTGTTGGGGCTGTTTCAGAAGCACAAGTCCTAAAAATTCATCTCTGTGGTTTGCAAGGCTTGGAGAGATTAGGACAGAGTGGGCATGGAGAACCTGGAGAGCCAAGTGCCTGGGAAAGATCATTAAAGCTGCAGAGCCCCAGAGAGGTCTGAGCATTACAGTCATGTCCTGCCTCACCTCTCCTCCTACTTCTCGCTGAGATGTAAAACCAAGGGTGGAAATGGCACAGGAAACTGTCCTCCATCAGCATGGCACGAGAAATCCCCAGAAAACCAGCTCCAGGGGTGACACGCAGCAGGATTCCTCTGATGCCACCTTCCTGTCACCCAAACACACCCCCGGAGTCGCTGGCAGCTCATAAATGTCCAGCAATGCCCCCAAGGAGCAGAATGTTCTCCCAGCAGCTGAGGAGAGCACAGGGAGTTCTCACTGGCACATCACCCTCGCTCTGGGTGATCCCACAGGGATTTTATGACAGGGAGTGGCTTTTGCTCAGCCTGGGCTCAACCAGCTCCTCTTACCTGGCTGCAAATTACCTGGGCTAATTAGCAGGCTAATCAGGCCGGGCCCAGCTTAGCACATCGGTGTCTGCAGTTGGGAGGGATCCAGCAGGATCATTAAATCCTTCTCCCTGCTCCTCACCTACCTAAAATGCAACCACAGGAACTAAAACCTTTTCCAGCTGCTCCCTGAGCACATCCCTGGGGAGCCTGTTCAGGACATCCAGGAAGGAGAAATTTGGGGAGATCTACCAGTAAGAGAACATCTGATATCTCCTGGGAGAAATTAAGCACTCCTGTGGTGGGAACAGCTTCATCCATAGTGGTGTTACAGCATAAACACCTCATTTCTGTGTGTGAGGTGGATAAACAGGAAGGGAGCACACCAGCAAAACTGATCAACCAATAAACAATAACAATAATAATAAAAAAATCCTCAAAACAAAATCCCAATATAAAATCAAAAATCCAATTAACTAACACAAAATCAAAACCCAATATTAAGTCCTTATCCCTAAAAAAAACCTTCATAACCTAAAAAAAAATTACACTCAACAACCTAATAAATCTATAATGAGTTAACTAATCCATCTTTAAAATACTGCAAACAAAACTACAATTCTAAACAATACTAAAACAAAACATTTAAAATCCCTATCACATAATCCACTTATCACCCCAAAAATAATAAAAAAACTAACCCTCGAAGTCTCTGGGGACAAGTCCTAAAAACCACAAAAATATCTGTGTACAAACAATCTCTATATACAACAAACCCAATAAAAAACCATAAAACAACAAAAAAAAATCTTTCTGTGGGGAGAAGGAAAGTGGTTGGGCAGGGAGAGAAGCTGTGTTGGGTTTGTTTGTGGTGCTTAATGTTCTTATTTTAAATATTTAAGAAGGTTTTTAATTAGATCTTGGCTTCACGTGGCCATGTTTTGAACAAGTGAAGCGTGGAGCTGCACCTGCTCCCAGCAAAGAGTTGTGGTCCTTTGGTGTGAGGCCAAGTGCTGAGTCCTGCACAGGTGGCAGAGCTGCTCCCAGGGGGACTGGGCAGTGACAGCTTCATGGTTGGACTCACTGACCTTTGAGCTCTTTCCCAATTGAAATGATTCTGGGAATTTGGGGATGTGTAATTTGTTCATTTTCTCTCCCCACACCCGTGTAAGGCAGGTCAGAGTCACCCTTTGAGCCAATGTTCCTCCAGGGACCTTCCTGAGCTGTGCAGGGCAGCAGGAACAGGAACCCAGAGATGAAATTTGAAAAATTTGTTATTTCCAAGCTTTTTGTCCCTGGCACACCATCCTCTCTTGGGAGCTCTCATGGATCTCATATCACCAAATGTTAAACTGAGCAGGGCTGGGGCTGGAAACATTCCCAGGAATCTCTGCCAGGACCTCTCAGCTCCTTCCTTTGCCCCTGCCCTGGGCTGTTGTCACACACACACACTCAGGGCACAGGAAAATGTTGCTGTTCAATGCAAAATCTGAACATTCCTGCTCTCTGTGGAGAATTCAGGGTATTTCAGGTGACAGAAAAAGGATGCTCTGCCCGCAGTGAGATTGCACTCAATGAAATCAGGCAGCCAGGGAGGTGTTTGCCTTGCTGGTGGCTCAGGGCATAAAAACAAAATTAAAATGGACTAAAGGCGTTGTGTTCTCACCTGGGAAGGCTCCCAGCGATTAAAACCAGCACATACCAAAACATTTATTGTAGTGACAATTGAGTAGATGCTGAAATAAACCTTTAGGACTTCCTTTGAAATATTACTGGTATTGTTTCTTTCTTTTCCAGCAGCGAGAATATCACATGAAATGCTGTCATTTGGAATGCAAAGAGGCACACAGGAGGAGTCCAAACAGATTAAATTCTACAGTGCCAGCTCAGAAAAAAATTCAAGACAACAAATTTCCCTCTGTCTGGAGTGATCTGAGGGCTGGTGATGAAGTAGCTCAGTCTTTACTCAGCAAGCAGAATAATTTGAGTTTGCTTTATTAGAGAAAATGATAATCAGGTGCCAGCGAAAGTGATTTATGTCTTCTTTCCCTTAATCATTTTACGAGAAATTTTCTCAAGCTGAGGCAGAATAAAGAGTAATTCTAAATTCCTGGGTCACAGCAGTGAATATTCATTGATCCTCTGATCCCTGGCAGGGTGGGCAGGGCTGGCACAGGGTGCCCAGAGCAGCTGTGGCTGCCCCTGGATCCCTGGCAGTGCCCAAGGCCAGGTTGGACATTGGGACAGTGGGAGGGGTCCCTGCCATGGCAGGGCTGGAATGGGATGAGTTTTAAGGTCCTTCCAACCCAAACCAGGCTGGGATTCTGTGAAATCTTTATCTAAAGTCCAAGGCAGTTCCCCAAACCCCACAATGAGCCTGGGCTCTCCAAGAGCAACTCCACAGTGCAGCTGTGTGAGCTCTTTGGTCCCCTGGCCTCAAAGGAAATTCTTCATTGTAAAAAGAACCTCAAGGCTCTCCCGTGTTTCTGCTCAGCCTCCAGCCACCATGATTTCAGGAGGAATTTCTCCATGGAAAGGGTGCTCAGGCTTTGGAGCTGCCCAGGCAGGTTTGGAGTGCCCATCCCTGGAGGTGTCCAAGGAAGGTCAAGGTGGCACTGAGTGCTCTGGGCTGGGGACAAGGTGGGGACCAGGCACAGGCTGGACTCGATGGGCTGGGAGGGCTTTTCCAACCTCAGTGATTCTGGAATTTATTCTATGCCCAACTGGAGGAGAAGGTGAGGGCATTTCCACCTGAGGTGCCAAGAGGCAGAGGTGGAAGCTGGACATGAAAAGCCCAGGAAACAGAGCACTGTCCTCATGGCTCACCTGATAAGGAGCCTCTCAGGAAACAAAGCCCTGGTAAAAATCAGCTTTTCCTGTGCTGACCAAAGCTGTTAAAGTGTCACTTCCAGACTGTGCATTGTCACTGCACCCACAGCAAGAGCTGGGTCAGGGCAGTTTTCTCCTAAAATGCCCCAGTGGAATACCTGTAGTGCTCAACATGTGGGAAATCTGCTTCTAGGGGAATTCTCAGTATTTTTATTTTATTTTAAACATTTTATTTGTTTTTCCTGTCTGTCAGGGTTGCCACAAGAGGGGGCCAACATGCCCCGAGTGGGGCACTTGGGGCTGAAATGAGTTTTAAGGATACATAAAACCCCAATAAATAGGGCAGGATTGTGCTGGGTGCTGTATGAGTAATTCACAAATCCACTGCTAAAGGTTCTTAACAGCCTTGAAGAGCAGATCAGCAAATAGAAAAAACCTGCTCTGACCTTCAATATTTGCCACACTGGTGATAAAAAGGTTTTCCCACACAATTTAGAGGTTCAATATATGAAGTCTACAAAATCCAGAGCAGTGATGGACTAACCCAGATCATGGACTGTGGACATTCACACAGGATTTGTAAATGGGAGGCTCGGGTCTCTGATCGACCTTCCTGTACAGCACCAGACTTGTGAGGGTCTGTGTGCCTTAAAATGACATTTTCCAGCCCTTCCTGTCCCATTCTGTCACTGGTTTCACCTCTCTCTCTCTGTACACACCAGTATCTCCAGAGGTGTGTATGTACACATATACGCAGCAGTGAACACAGCAGGCAGATGGGTGGAGGGTTTAACACACTTATAAATAGTGTTAAGAATAAAAATTATGGCTCGAGACTATTCTCATTCCAGAGGAAAACTGAGTCACTTGGGGAAGATCGACAATGGCCTGAAGCCAAGTGGTTCTGCAGATGAGAGCTGAAGAAATGAACTCACGTCAGCACTGCAAATAGTTAAAAAAAAAAAGAGTTTAGCTCTAAAATGGATCCTTTCCAGATGTGGCACTAATGTGCTGTGCCAACTTTCTTAAAAACAAGTTGTAAAGGAAATTTCTTGGGGTGCTGGAAAGTGGGGAGGTGTGATAATGACAGAGGTGCTGCAGGATTCAGAGAAGCAGCTTTGAATCATAGTTGCCTTTTACATTTGGCCTTTCATGTTGTGTTTCCCTTCTTTGGAGCACCCAGATTGTGGGGGCTGCAAGTGCCTGGTTTCTGCAGAGTTTGATTTTCCTTTTCTAGTCTGTCTTCCTTCAACTCAAATTAGGCAATTACGAATTCATCAAAAGGCAGCCTTTGATGAGGGCAGGGACAGTGTGATCTTGTCACCACCATCTTTTAGTGCTGTGGCACCCAAGGGTCCAACCCCTGCATTGTCCCTGTGACCCTCAAACACCCCTTGGAACAGAGGGAAATAAAAGCTTCTCTCTCAGCTCAGCATAAGGAGGGTGTGAAGTTGTCCCTAAACTCAGGGACCACTCACACAATCCAGCTGACAACATCTGGAGGGGAAACCTGATCATCCCAAGGAGATGACCACACAAAATGTGTCACAGTTATAAAGAAAATAATGAAGTCAGCTGGAGATGCTCTGATCCCTGTGGCAAGTCAGTATCCACAGGGCTCCAAGGATTCCCATCCCTGCTGGAGATGCTCAGCCCAGCCACAGCTGATTCCCAAAAGATTCTGTGCCCAGCCTTGTGTGGCTGAACTGAGGATCTGTAAGGCTTCACAGACTGCATTTTACCTGTGAGAAAACCTGTCAGCCCTTCCTGAGAATGCAATCCTGTAATGGTGGAAAGCAGCTTATTCCCCTGAGAAAGAATCCTGAGACTGTGACTGGTAACAGCACCTGTGTAAACTAGCCAGATTTATTGGAGACAAATATGCAAAGAGAAGATGGTCACTGGCATGTAGACACATCTGGTGACCTGACCAGTCCAGCAGGGTAACAACTATTTACTGACCAATTACAAATAGGCATGATATGTTTGTAAAACTCCATCTAATGGGTTGTGGAAATAAAACCACACAGCACCTTTTTTCTCTGCATGAAGAAGAGTGTGTCTCGTCTCCCTGAGTGAGGCCACAGTGACACAGCCTCACCCTGACAGCACAGCCAAGAGCTGAGGTGCTTTTGGAGCAAGCCTGGAGCTCCCTGTGGAACCTGTCCCACAGAACCAACACTTGTTCTCTGCTCTGAGAGCTCAGGACCAGTCACGGGTGGGGGAGGACTGTTCTGCTTCTGAACTCCCTGAGAGCAAAGCACAGTCTGTGTTTTACTGCCAAATTCTCCTCAGAGTGTAAAATTGCTGCTTGATTTTATTTGTTCCTCACTCCCCTCAGCTTCGTATTTCCTCCTCCAGCCAAGCTCGTTTTCAAAGCAGATGCAATGGTGTCATTACTCTTTTAAGTCAAAACCTTGGCTCTTTCAGCAATCTTGTTCCTCTGGCAACTCCTGGAACTGCTTTATCCTGATGGAGAGGTGATTTAATGCTTGCTTCCATAATCAGTACAAATGAAAGCCTCATTATACACCAAAGCTGTGGCAAGTCTGTAATTACCTAGACTGTTATTTTAAAGATCTCCCCTGATATCCCACTCTATTTCTCACTTAAAAAGCCCCATGTCTCATGTTAACTGTCCTCAAAGTGCTTCTCTTTTGGGAGAACACTGATTACAGGTAAATGATTCCTCTCCTGAAGGAGTATCAGTCAAGCCTTTCTGGTTTAATTTCTGGGTAATGTGCATACATGGGCACACAAATTGCACAGGGTACATTTAGCAAGGGAAAATATTGAGTCAAAGGATCATATTTTGTTTTCCATGGCCAGTTCCTCCAGCAGTCCTGCACTGGAGCTTTCCTTCTATGAACAGTAACGGGGGTACCTCAGCGCTTTGATTTTTGCAATAAGATTTCAGAGTCTATAAAACTTCTGCTCTGGCATTTTACCTTGGTGAAGTTGATGGCTATGCCCTTACAAGGTCAGAAATTCACTTTTTATCCTCACAACCATCCATCTCTGTCACTGGTTCCCCATCCACTCCAGATCCATTCGAGAGCAATCTTTTATTTTAAGAAGTTAAAGTGACTGTTGGTAAAAGGAAAAGTTGTTTGTGTGTGACCTTGTGTCCCTGATATCCTTTCTACAACTCTGGTTGTGCATTAAAATTCCCACTCGGGGCAGGACTGAGGGGACACGAGGGAGCTCCTTGGCCCCCACCACTGCTCTGGGTGCTTCAGGAGAGCTCAGCCTCAGCACATCAGCAGGCAGCACCACAGGGTGTCACACAGAGCTGGCATGTCCCCTGCTCGACCCATTTCAGAGGTGCAGAGCGACCAAACCCTCTCAAACACTGGTTATTCTCCAAAGAACCAACAGGAGACACAAATCAAACCAGGTGGGACAGAGGCTGTTGGACACCTTGGATCAGGAGTGTTCTCTTTCCATTTACAGAGCAGGAATTGTGTGCCAAGAATAAATGTTGTCTATGGAGAAAAGTCCTCTTTTTCTGAAGTTCTTTTATCTGTGTTTCATCTTTCCTCTAATTCATGTGTGTG